ATACCCTGACCCAATTAAAAAAGGTAAAAAAAAAATAATGAAAAAACTTTGGAAAAGACACCAAGTGCGATATCGTCTGTAAAATGGAGAGAACATTATAGGAAATTGGACGAGGCAAAAAAAGAGAAGGAAATTGAAAAGATCCAAGCAAAAGCAGCAAGAGAGGAAGAAAATAAGGTCAAGGAACTTGTAAAGACTAAAAAAAGAGAAGCAAAGGGTGAAATAGAGAAAAACAGATCACTTAAAAAAAAGGTACTCGAAAAAGATAAAGAAAATAATATAAACAAAAATAAAATACCCTGTACTCAATGCAACAGCGACACAGATGACGATGACAAAAAAAACATGGGTGTGATTTGTGTGATAATTGGTACCATAAAAAGTGTACTTCATTTAGCAACATACCTTATGAAATAGCTGCAACAAAAGACTATAAATGCAGCCAATTCCAAAATAAATTATTAACTTTTTTACTGTTTTTATAAAAAAAAAAATTAAATTTTATTTTGTATTTTTCGCATTACATACCCCAATTTTTATTTTTATTCATTAAAAAATAACTGTTTTTTGATGATTTGAAGTTTTATTATTATTAGAATGGCATACATTTGGATGGTCGAGAATCAACTTCTAAAGGGTCGAAAACTGAAAAAGCTGGTCGAGAACCCATTTCAAATTGGTCGTAAACTGTGAGGACTGGTCGAGAACTTCCAAAATAGCACATTTTCCAGTTGTTTTAAGATATTTTATTTGTATATATAATAAAAAATTACAAACTAATTGCAACAATCATAAAGCCAAGACCGAAAGCCTACATATTTCATTGATTCAGTTGAAATTGAAACGACCCTTAAGTATGCCTAACTTGTTAAGTCAGGACAGCAAAATCATTAATAACCTCCTAATTGAATTTCTTAAGCAAATTAAAATACATTTATAAGTATAACTACAAGCTAGGTAGTCATTTTCTTTAAAAGTCTGTGGCTAACAGATTTAATTCTAAGCCAACTCCCCCTCTCACACACACACATACAAACTAATGGTACAAGAACATTCTCAGATGTTCCATGTAACAAAAAGTTAAGTCAAAATTAACTTACAGTTAATAATGTATTTTTTACAAAGATTTAAAATTCACTTTTCCCTTAACTGGTCGAGAACCGACTAAGTTGCCCTATAACACATATCAGCAAAAACCGCAAATTTCTACGATTTGTTTAAGAGTTATAAGCTCTGGAAATGGGCTACTTTTCATTGGGACACCATGTATACACCTGACTACATTTTGCGCCTACCTGAATTCCGGAATAATTCTACTTACTCCTACTTTAATGAAAAGCCGATCCTGATTTTTATATAAAAATTTAATCTCAGTACAGATGTCAATCTATCACTTTATTTATACATAAAAATAGAATTATATTATGATTATATTTTTCTAGATTCAGTAGGTTTATTTTAGTTAAATTAAAATCACATTAAAATCATTATACCGTTTTTGTGGTAGAACTTTATTAAAAAACTTCCTGATATGAATACTGATAATATTAATGTATGGCCAATTCTTATTATTTAGCTATTCAACACCATTGTACTTTTATTTGGCTATAGATTATTATCTGAACATACGACATGACATTTTTATTTCTTTATTTATCAATTACAATTTCAAAAGGATTATATAATCTGAAACGAGTGTTAGATTAACTAGCAACTAAATTATCATGATACGTTTAACACCAAGCGATGTAACCTTTGCAATTTCAGACTATATATAGTCGTCTATTTTACATTGTATATTTTCTTCTTCTTTATGGGTTGTGTTACCCTTTAAGTATTTTATTAAAGACTATTTTAGATGCTGCTGAAAGATTTTGATGGCGGTTTATAAATACCTAGTTAATATATTATTATGTAATAAAATAGTTTTTCAAAACTTCAGCTATTTTATATTGATTTATAATTATGTAGAAAGTCGAAAAATCTTTTATTTTTGTATTAAATACGAGATTTAATATCATTTATGTATTTTTGTCACACCCTATATTAATAATAAATTCGAGAGACGCTAAAATAATGGTTCCTACTTTATCGAGACTGAGGCCCACAAAGGTAAACTCGTAGCGCAACAAAAACGAAAGACCGAAGGCCGATAGTAGTATTAGGACGTTGAATTTTTTGGTTTGTGAAGCATTGGCATTACTTAGGTTAAACCATGTGATGATTTTCACAAGCCTTGTTTAAAACCATTCTATATCGCCTTCTGATTAGGGTTTAAAAACTTGTTAGAGCAATTTATCCAATAATAATTGGCCCCTTTACCTCTTAAGCCTGCTCATGTAAAATATTTGGGCTCCTTATTTCGCCTATTTATATTCTATTAATAAAGGACAGAAGGATGAGTATTGCAACTATGTTAAAAGAAATAAATTCGTTCAGAATTATGTTCAGTACATGACTGTTATTTATTTATAAAACAAAAACGACATAGTACCATTGCATCAGATCTATTAGAAATGGGTTGATCACATTATGTCTTTAAAATCCCAAGGTAAGAAGATTCATATTTAAATTTTATGAATTAAGGAAATTTTTGACTAGGAGTTTACTAATTATTATTTACAATTCGCTGGATTACAATCCAAAATCGTATAATTAAAATAATCTAAAATAAAACAGCATTATATCCTACCTCTCTTTTATATAATAAAAAAGTGCTTTGTATAAGAACATTATATTATCTGTCTTGCTGTACTTTTATTTATGGAAAGCCTGAAATAGGAAACACTACAAATTATTTGCAATAAATATCGAAAGAAGTACATATTTTTAAATAATTTGACATTTAAGAGCCATTCACACGTCACAGTTGACATCTTGATACTTGACAGGCACAGCCAAGTATTATTCTAATTTTTTCCAAATAAAATGGCCGGTTAATTATTCTATGGGGTTGCGACAGAGCCAGTGAATTTGATGTTTTTGTGGCTAGGGGCGAAATAGTAGTACGCTTAAGTTAGCACCATTATAAAAAAGTAATTTTTAAGAAACTGCTTATATATTTTTCATAAATTGGCAGGCTTGGCGACTAATTTCGAATAAAAATAGCCTCCAAAATGGCTATGGTTGCAAGTAGGATAGTCGCAACCCGCCTTAGAAATCTCACCTTTACTATCAACAGCTGTTGTTTGACAGGCCGTTAGAGAATGCAATTTATGGAATGTTAGGAATGTTGACGTTAGAAATAATTGGAATTCCTAAAATTGTTACATAAGAATTGCATAGGTGGATTTTAAAGAAAATTGATATTAAAGTAGTTAGGATAAACCGAAAATTCTGAAAATCAATAGGGTTCTAATTTAGAAGTAATTATTCAAGAAAATCAAAACCGCAAGTCAATCAGAACGTTCGTTCTAGAGTTATCGTGCCGTCATACATACACACAGACGACCAGACGAATTTTTTTTTTTGCATTTTCGGACTCAGAATGATCGGAAACATAAAAAAAAGTTTTAAAAAATAGGAATAAGAAAATTTTTTTGTCTGCACGAATGCAATACTGAGGCCCCATAGGGCCTCAGTAATTCAGTAGGCATTTAATATAACAAATAAGAAATCAGAAGTCATGTTCGAACTATGGTAATACATGAAAATGCATCTTATCTCAGTATCTTATATGACTAACTTTTTGAAGACTCTGTATAATTTATTTTGCAAAGTGAAATTAAGCATCAACAAACTATATACAAGTGCAATATATGACACAACTTCCATGTAATTCTTAAGAGTGGTAGAGATTTATTAATACATTTTAAAACTGGAGTCCTCACTTTTGACTCCTTCTAACAGCTCACCCTGTAGAGCTGCAAACTTGGGATACATAAGAAAGTTGTTATTAATGACCTGAAAAATAATATATTTAAATTTGACAAATTTTGAAAGTACGCAATATCAGGGTTCCTTCTGTTTTGTGAATAAACAAATTAATATATCAGATATAAAATTTGAGGATATAAATTATTTAATATAGGTAGGGATTTATTGATATTAATCCTTTTTTGTAGATTTTGCTCAAAATTATATACTTTGATAAAATATAACAGGCATTTAAGACGAGTCAAATCAGTTAAAAAAAAACTTAAAATACTTATATTGATCATAATCTGTATTTTCCGAGGCATTTTCAATTACATTATTTTAAATGAATACGACCCACATAAAATTCACAAATTTAATTAAAATTATTACATAAAATTGATTTCAACATTAAATTAGAATGAAAAAAAAGCGATAAAAGGTTTGTTGCTCTAGACTAAAATGTATTTTGCAAATTTTTTCTGAAAACAAAAACTACATAGGTAAACCCTCGGGTAAACCATAACGACTAACACTAACTAACAAAAATCTTTAAGTGATTTAATAAAGGTAGCATATTATTATCAATATTTAAATTTAAAAAGTACCTAAGTAGGTAATAATAGAATTACGGTTAAAAGTACAAAAATACAAAAAATTGTTTTTCAAATTATAGAAATTGGAAAACTGATTCAATAATATTTAAAATGAAATTGTAATTTATGTTTAGTGAATATTTTTGTGTTTTATTGGTAATAAAAACCTATGAGACTTTTTTATATTTTTTATTTAACTTTTTACTATTTAATTACTATACAATTTTTAGTGGTTAATAATTTGCCTAGGTACTAAAGTTTACAATACCTTTTTTACTTTTAAAATTTTTAGTTCTCTGTTATAATAATTTTTTTTTAAATTCAAATAATAATAGATATGAAATTTAAGGATTATATTGCAATATCTAATGAATATAGATCCTGCGATGAAAAAGTAGTATTTTTAGCGAAATATACCTGTTTTTCTATTAATAAAATCTTGAAACAAATTTTATAAAAAATCTTTGCCAGAAGTTCTAAATAATAGATGTCAAAACAAACCCATTGCGCAAGTCCCTTTAATCCCACAGGAAGAAACTTTATACCAACCTGTAGCACATGCGAATCGACGTCAGTTTCCTCATTTTCTAGGTTTTCCAGATCGGAAATTTGCACCCCATCCAAATCAGAATACGAGGGACCACTATAATCAGAAACAACACTGGACCCACAACTATTCCCTGAATCTTCCATATTCAAGTCGGCATGCTTAAATTCCGTACCCATAATCGCACTTAAATCAATCGGGGTTAACACTGGTCGGTCAGGCGGCCGTTTGAACGCGCGGCACTGAACACGTATGGTTCGGATTTAAGGGTTTTATGCACCGATTTGGAGCGGTTTCTTGTTGACAATTGAAAATAGAGCTTTAAGACTTTTATGTTCGGCCTACCTCACTACACAACTGATCGCGCCGCACTGCTTGTACTGCTTGGAGGTAGATTCGTTGATTTCGTTCGCGAGAGCACACGGTCGCTAAATTGAAATAGGCGCTTGCGTTTTGTGGCCTTCTACGTTTGGGGACGATTAAAGTGGCGCTGTGTTGTCAAGTCGTCTTAAATTTATCTAAATTAGGTATTTTCGCAATGATTTTTGATGTTATTTGATAAATTAAGGAAATTGCTAAATAAAGAACAATTGGTTTGAAAAAAAAGCGCCATCGGTCGAAAGACTATTTTAGACCCTCTAAAACACATTTCAAAATAGTTGTTTTGCCCTGGAAACGCTTCAAAATAGTTTTTTCTTGTCTAAGAACTTCCAAATGTGTCCTCCAATTTCGATCTTCAAACATGTGAAATACATCATTTTGATTAATTTCTTGTTATAGAAACTGCTAAATAATAATATTAGACAATCCATAAATCAATAAACCATTCCAAATTTTTTCGTAGTTTTATTTTCTTAGGTTAAAGTTCGTCAAAATTTTGCAATATAAATGGAATAATTTTATTTTCGTGAACAATATGACAATTGACATTGGAAGTGTGTTAAATGCAGTGTTGCCAACTATTTTTTTTGAGAGATCGTACAAGTAGAGTGCAGTCTGTTCGTTATACTTACGCGGGTTTCGGATTAACAAAATTATGCAAATTAGTCATTGACAACCAGTTCCAATAAGCCTTTTCCCTAGAAATTAGGTAAAATTGTCCTAATGGTCAGATTTAAATTAAAATAACATTAGGGTAGGTACTAAATTTGTTACAAATATTGCAGTTGAATTGATTCTTTGCAAGTGTTGACATTGTATGTATATTGTACATTTAGTGGAAATTTTAAAAATGCCTAGACGTGTGTTAGATGTAGATAGTCTAATTTGTAGTGTGCATAAGTATTTTACGGTCCTTTAAAATCGGTAATGTCTGTACAACAACGCGTATGCGATGCTCTAGGAATTAGTGAAACCAAATTAAGAGGAGTATTACAAAATCAAAATAGTGAACTGCCGAAAAAAGATCACCGCAAAACTCGTCGATCATTGAAAAAGAAAGATATTCCAGATAAAAAGAAATTTGAAATTCGTGATACCATTTATCGAATGAGGGCCAACAAGGAACATGTGACCTTAAATACAATTCTCTCAGAATTAATAGAAAATTTGACGACATTGGCAGAACAAGTCTGTGGCAAGTGATACATAAGTTGGGTTTCAAATTTCAAAAGGAGGATAACAGAAAGGCCCTTTGTGAAAGAAGTTCTGTCGTGCACAAGAGAACTAACTTTCTAAGAAAATATTCTAAATTTAAAGAAAAAGAGGCGAATTTTATATATTTAGACGAAACATGGATATTTTCTAGGGGTGCAACCAAGAGAATATGGCAAGATGATAACGTAAAGTCCATCAAACATACCGATGGAGAAGGGAAGCGACACATAATTTTACATGCAGGAGGGAAATCGGGTTTTATAGAAGGTGCTGATTTAATATTTTCATCTAAATCAAAATCCAGTGACTATCACGATAATATGAACACAGAAATGTTTGTAAAATGCTTGCATGAAAAACTTCTCCCAGGTTTAAGTGAACCCAGCGTAATTATTTTAGACAATGCAGCTTACCATTCTGAAGTATTAAACAAAAGTCCAACGAATTCTTGGACTGTTGATAAAATTAAAGAATGGTTGACAATGGAACATATACCATTTCCTCAATATATATTAAAATCAGAATTATTACGCTTGGCAAATATACACGCAAAACCAAAAACCTTTGTTGTGGATCAGATTATTGAAAGTTACGGTCATCAAGTTTTACGTCTGCCACCGTATCATTGCCAGTTTAATCCCATCGAATATGTATGGGGAATAGCAAAACAATATTATGACAACCATATTGGGCCTAATGGTTATAGTGTCGACGCAGTTCGGGAAAGCACTTTCAATTGCAACTCCAGAAGTGTGGCGGAACTGTATATCCAAGTGCGAGAAATTAATAGAAGATTGGTGGACTCGTGAAAATAAAATAAACGAAATAAGTCCAATCATAATAACAATTAATGGTGATGACAGTGATGATGATGACGATTATGATATTTTGGATGATAATGACTGATTTTCATTTTTGTTGGCCAGTTCAATTTTTTTATTTTTCATTTGAAATTCTCTACATGGAACAAATTTTTATGCTAGAAAATATTTTATTTGAGCTAAATAATCCTCTTATTGTACATAGACCATATTTTCTGTGTGAAGTGTAATATAAAATTATTATTAGGTGTATAATAGCCACATTAGACTAGATTATTATTTAATTAAAAAGTTGTACATTATTTTTCATTTAATTTAACCAGTTGATATTTCCCCAAAGAACAGGTCAAACTTTCGGGTACTTACCTGGAAACACTCATAAAAATTTTAATCTGAAACCCGCGTAAGTATAGCGAACAGATTGTAGAATAATGGTATACTAGCCAATTTTGCTATAAAAAAATCGTACAATTGGTACATGTATCGCATAATATAGGTAACTTAAATGAAATGAAAAAATAAAAAAAAATTTTGGCATGAAAATTTATTTAGAGGAAAGGAACCTAATATGAGACACCTTCTTATTTTTTTGAATAAATAGGTAAGAATGTAACTTTCAAAAGTTGTTTTATTTCTAAACAGTAGATTGTTGTGTATACTTCACATCTTAACACATCAAATTTATTAAAATTGTTAATTATTTTTGTAGGCAATAACTAAAAAAAATCACTTTTGTTATTTTCAAAATTGGTCTCCTAATATGAGATAGGGTAGGGTTCCTAATAAAAGACTGTCTCATAATAAGATACCCAAAAAATAAAAAGAGGGATTGAAAGAAAATTATTGCTTTATTTTAAATATAATCGAAAGGATGATCAATAGTGTAACAACACTAAAATTTAAATCGAACAAAAGCTTTTTTCCTTTTATTTTTTCGCACATAGGGCATACAAATTGTGTGCCATCAAGCTCGCCGCAATCTTCGTGACACCACTGAAAACACTTTTCCCCACGAGTGTCTTCGGAAAATCTTACATGGAAAAACCGACACTCAGCATCAGTCGAGTCACCATAATGCACAGATGCTTCTGAATCTGAGCTGCTCGATATAATTTCAGCCTTTTTGGTACTTTTAGCTTTGGATTTTTTTATCTATTGTTCCCGAAGATTGTTGTTTCACACCTTTATTTTTTTATATGGAGTAGATGTTATTAAGCTTGCTTTGCTTTTTCTTTTATTAGAATTCGCACCATAATTTGAAGAGGTTGACGACACTGGATAAACTTCTTTTGGAGAGACCAGCAAAAGTTTATCACTTTTTTCTGACCTGTTGATGTTGGCAGTACCATAGCTTTTTCGGACTCTGCAGGGAGATCCACAAATAAATCTGATGACATGTTTGAAATATGTTTTGTCCTTACTTAAAATATCTGCTGGTATATCTCCTTCATTTTCAATATTAATTATTTCTTGTAAAGGCAGATTTTGTTCTTCGCCCAAAAAGTCGATATCTCTAAAAACATTTCTGTTGCAAGGAAAGAGGCCTGTTTCTCTAAATGAATTAATCGATGCCTCCATTGTTGCAGCCAGATTATAAGCTTTTCCAAATAATTAGCAAATGTTGTTGTGTGTCACAACTTTTCCTGGGTTGTTTTTGAGAAACCTCTCTATTTCTTGAGCGTAATACGTTTTTAGTGATGCAATGAAACCCATATCCAATGGCTGCATTTTATGAGTCGTATGTGGTAGTAAGCACACAATTGAAATATAAATTTCTCTGGCCATGTCTATGATTTCTGTTTCTCTTGTGGGAGTAGTGACCATCTAAAACTAACAAAATCGGATTTTCTTTTGTTGGTTTAGTAAACTTAATAAAATGTGAAAACCACTTCGTAAAACTATCCGTCTGAATCCATCCAGATGGATGACATGCAAATATTGATCCAGCAGGTGCGCCCTCCATTAGATGTGTAGACATATTTTTACGGGAAAACACTATTAAGGGTGGAACAAAAGTACCAGAAGCATTCATGGCTGTCACAACGGTGACGAGTTTTTCTCTCTCTTGTGATGTTATGGCACCAAGCCGATTATTTTACTTTGTTTATGCTGCACAACCGCAACGCCTGTTTTGTCAACATTGAATAATCTATGCAGCAAAAAATTAATTTTTATTTTAACTACAAATAAGCATTGATGGATGAAGTATAAATAAAATATCTACATCTTGAACATATACTACATTCTTTAAATTAAATTACCACACTCCTTTTTTTTAAACTATAGTGTTTTCGAACTGTCTATAAACTTTCTGTAAAAGTTGAATAGTAATATCCGCCGTTTGAGTGTCGGCGTATATTAGATTTTTTTTAAGACTTAATAATAACTAATTTAAATAGGTAAATATCTAGTTTGAACTCTTCTTGATTACGGAAAAACTCAGCATGCATACTTGTAGGTATTGCTATTGCAAACAAAAAACTTAAGTTATACATCTTGTGCAAATTAATAATGACACCAATAATTTTTTAAATATTGATATCGTCGGTATACAAGAGAAGGTGAACAAGTCCAAAATTTTACATTTTTTAGTTTGTGATGTCCAGGTACCTTAAATTCAACATTATTTATCAGGAAAAATGAGTATCTTGAAAAGTGCCATAAAAATGCTTAAAATTTAAAATTTATTTGATTTTCCGGGAAAGAAAGTGAATAGGTTGGGTAAACTTTTTGTGCGACTTGCCAACAGAGTATGCCGTAAA